TTAAATACTTTTCACAGACTGGATACTTTCCACAGAAACTAGATTTTTCTCTGGTTAATTTTTCGTTTCAAGCACAACAAAACCCTTTCCAACTGAGTTTTTATTCATTTCTTTTATTTTGTAGCCAATAAAAGCATTTACAACAGCTAAACTAAGCTGTAATTCCTGTATTTTAATTAGATGTGCTCAATTAAAAATTATTTTTCTCAATTTTAGGTAAACCTCTGAAGACCTTAGATTATGTTTGGTGTTCATTTCTAATTGTATTTGGCTATTCTGGATTTGTAGGACCTCAGAAACATAAGAACCAAATGATATTTTCAGCTAAAGATAATCAATAATTAATGAAAAACTAAAATGTAAAGAATAATCATAAATAGATAAACTATCAAAAGATTGATTAAAACACTTTTTCTGTGTAATAATTTCAGGTTTAAGACAAACCAAATTATATTATACAGGGCGAGCAGGATATGTGGAAACCAGGTTTATATTTTTAATGGGTCTTATTTATTAGGATTATTTTCTCCTCTTGAAGGGTAATCACCTAATACTTGTAAAACAACTAACTAAATTCCTGTAAATAATCTCTGAATCTTCAATTCACTTTCTGAAAACATATGTTAATCTGATTGAGAAATATAAAAAAAAACTCAATTTTTTCAGGAATTTTACTTTTTCAGCTATCTGAGTCGAACTGTAAAATACATGTGTTGTTGATTTATCTTCATCTAAGAAAACAATATGTAATAGAAACTAACGCCCCCTTTCAGAAAACCAGAAGGGATACCTCCAATCCAAAATCTACTAAACACCCCCCCAAGGGGGTCTGTTGACGCAGTCTAACATTAAGCTTCAGAAAATGGTGTAAATTACTTGTTGGTTTAAAGCATTCCCTTTTTAAGCGCTGCTTTATCCCCATAAAAATGGTGTTTAAGTGTTGCAAGTCCAGTGCTGTCATGGCTGCCTTTGGTGTTGTTTAGTGCCAGGCCAGCAGAGCTGTATCTGCTGTGGAAGCATTATCTTTAAAAAGACTAAATTTAAACCCCCAGAGTCCTCGCCTTGGTATGCAGAAGGCTTCCAGAACAACATAAACTCCAAATAAGCAGAGAGGAACCACTGGTGCAATGCATACGTCAACCACCTGGTTTTAAATAAAGGTGCAACAGCGGCTCACCTGCACCAGGAAAACAATCAGTCTGACTAAACAAGTTAGGTTTTCTGATGCAAGTGATTTTTTTTCTTTCCCAATTTCTCAGTTAAGTTTGATCAAATGCTAACTAAAGTTCGATTTTTTTCCATCATTTATTCCACTTTATTTAAAAAAAACAAGGAAACGTCTTCCAAAATAAAAGCGAATGACTAATCTCTTATTTCTTAGAGCTTTAGGTATGTAGATTACCTTCAAAGTTATGCTAAAATGTTTGTTTGCTCTCGGTGTAGTTGGCAGGAATAATCAAAATGCTACGTGTCCATCTGACAGCTGAGCTCTGTCATGACCCATCTCAGTAGCTTTGATTTCCATCTGGACGGAGATCCAGGTTTGGCCCAGACCTGCAGGCTCTGCTCTCCATTGCTGTGACTTGCTGGTCAACTTTGACCATAATGCAGGAGTCAGAGCCCTAAAATCCATTATTAGCATCTTTGCAAAGAACAAATCTAAGCCCAACATTTATCTGAGGCTTCTTGAACGTCCCCTGGAAACTCATGAAAGACCAATCTGAACAAGTATAAAATGTAGTTCTTCAAATTAAATATCAACGACCAAGTTTGTCCACCTAAAGTGGATCCCAGTATTTGACTCTCACCACCTGACTGTACTGATCAAATACAGTCTTGCTTTAATCTCTAGAACAGCTGCAAACACCTTCTCCCTGACTATCTCCTTTCAAAACAGGAAACCTAATTGATACTTCAGCAGCAGCTGCAAATAATCAAAACTTGATTTCTGTTGAGAAAGACATGCAGCACACAGTTTGTGTGTTTCCTGTAAAGACACCGTTCTCTCAGCTCTGGGGTCTGATAACAAGGCTCTGTGAAATTCAGGGGAAGCACACCCCCCTTCTTCCATTTTCAAACCGCTGTTGTCATCAGATAACCAACATGCCAGTGTGACAGTAGAATTTGGGAGGTGTGGGTCAGCATACCACTGGCAGTAGAAGTACTAGAAGCTGCTAAGAACAAGGTTCCTCTGGCTTAGACAATAATGTTCACATCAACAACTTAAAGCATGTTCAAAAAAGGACAAACAAAAACCCTCAGCAGCAGGTTGGCAGCTTTTAGTTTCTGTAAGGTAGCCATTAGGTTAGAGAAACACCATCTGAGCACCACCTGAGGGTTGTCTGATTTCAGGAATTTAAGGAATCTGACTGTTGGAAAAGAGACGTATTGAAGTTTGATCATGTTACCTGAATAAATGGTTCACTCTGTAGTCCATCTGCAACTAAAACCGCTTCCCCTTCTGGTTCTGTGTTTGCACCCTAGTTAGTACCTGTGTTCAAACGTAAACAAACAACCTGCACAAAGAAGCTAAACAGACCAGAGTTTGATTTAAATGGACTAAACTCTGAAGCTGTGAAAGAACCTTTACAGGTCTCATTTACTCGTTTTTTCAGTAAGTCTGCTGTGGTCTCCGGTACGGATGAATGTCATTTTCTATGCAAAAAAAGCACTCCTGTTTCAGGGGGTTGAACGTTTTAGAGGTGTGTGTTGATGTGCTAATGTCTCGCCTCTGGTTGGCTAACAGCTACTAAACTCTTTCACTGCCTCGGTTTGCTCTCCATTCTTGGGTAAAACATGTAACGTTGATGTTTAATTTCCACAAATTACACAAGCCTGTTCCGCCATGTTGTGGCATTGCTAATGCTAACTGTTAGCTTCTACTAGCTCTCTCCTGGCTACAAGGTCAACAGTCTATCCTGGTCACAAACCATGGACGGGGGCCGTGCATACTAGCCCTACTTTTTCACAAACACATTTCAAAAAGAACAAGTATTATACGGTGAACACGACCTTTAAAGACACAACAGTCCGATACCGAGTCACAGCTGTGGAGAGTTCAGTCCAACACGACTTATTTTGAACTCGATTTAAACACACATTCATTTTTAAGCAGAAACTGCACAATATACTGTGATGATCAACTGAACTGGACAGAAAATGAGTAAACACCTAGAATGCCTGGCTAACTGATGCTAGAGACCATCAGGAATTTTTATGGACATCATGACTTCTAATTGGACTTTCCCACAAATCATCAGCCTTAGTTATTTGATAAATGAGAAAAGACCCACACTTGTGAAGCGCCTTTCAGTGTCAGAGGACTCCAAAGCACTTTACACTACAGATGATGAGCTACAATGTAGTCACAGCTGTCCTGGGGAACACTGGGACAGAGGTGAGGCTTTCAAGCACTGGTGCCATCAGTCCCTTCGACCACCAACAGCAGACAACACGAGTTAAGCGTCTTACCCAAGGACATAACAGTATTCTCTGCTGGGATCAAGCCTGCAGCCTTCTGATTACTGGACAACCCGCTCCACCACTGAGCTGAACTACAGCTACTCCACTACTGGAGCTAGCAGGAAATCCTTGGTCACCCCTAACACCGGTTCTGATCTGTTGGATCCATTTTGGTAACTGCTGGTGGTCACCCTGAAGAACAAGAATCCCACTTGTGAAAGTCAAACCAATTCATTTGTTTCTGCTTCCATCACACAGATCCTCCCAGTCATTCCCAGGTCCCAATTAGTTAAAAGTTTTTAAACTCCAGTTTAATCAATACATCAAAGATATTAATGATTAACACAGTTTTCAATACTTCTTGGTCACAACTGGAACAGATTGGTCAAAGGGTCTTAAATGCAACTCCCTGTTACCACAGCCAGCAAGCTGATAAGCAGTGTAGATTTGGGTTTCGAACTTTTTTCCATATTGGGGGATTGAAAGTTCCCAAGATTCAATGGAAAAACGCAAACAAGCGTCACAATGCAGCAAGAAGTTTATATTTGACATAGATCTATGATGGTCTGACCAAATTGTTTGCAAGGCTGGAGTTGCTGAACCATTTCTCATTAGCAGGAGTTCACAAAAAAAAAATCCAGTTATTTCAATAACCCTCCCACTGTCCTAATGGGTATGACCTCGCTAGGAAAGTTGACCATTCAGTAGGGTTGAGGTCCACATGGCAGGGGTGAGGAGTGAGCACCACCTCACCCCTGCCACGTGGACCCAAGGGATAAACCATCAACCCTGCTCAATGATCAACTTTCCTAGAGGGGTCATACCCATAAAGACAGTGGGAGGGTTAACATCCTAGAACAGAATAGTTGGTATGGGAAGGAACCTGCAAACCATTAGGTGTCAGAAGTCCAGAGAATTCTGCTGCACAGCTGACAACAGAGACAAAATAAGAAAAACGACATTTGCACAATTTACACCAAGAACACTAACAGGTGGATGCACTCTTAAACCTGATTGGTTGACTGTTTGTGGAACAGGAGGATCACAAAGCTTGAGGAGAATTAGAAAAGTGCCTGGTCAGGCCAGCTCGGTGGGTTTGTGTTCCCACCACACCAACATACAAGCTGTCATATCATTTACAACACCGAGCAGAGACCAAAGCGGTAATCGATCTGCGTCAAACCACTAAAATAAGCACCGCGAGCGAGGTTTGCCTGGAAGGACAACTTGGGTTTGAAACTCTTCTACTTCAGGGAACTAGTCCACTCCATAAAAACTCTAAACGGTATAAACCAGCAGCGATTGATGGATTTAACTCTGATAAATGAGTGATCTGGAGTGTTTTGCTTCTACATGCACCTGCGGATCTCATGAAGACCAAGTTCCCCTCATCATCATCATCATCATCATCATCATCACGAGTCCTGCCGACAGGTGCGCAGCGCGACCTGCGGCATGTTCCTCTCACTAAGCATCAAAAGAAATTTAAAATAAAAGAGCTGTAACTTTCGCGGGGATGGTTTTGGGGTCTTACTTACTGTTCTCAGGAACTGGATCTCATCCTCCCCTTCTCCGCCCTCAGCCATGGCTGTGAAGGAGCCTCCTCAGACTCTGGAAGCCACCGCTGACTGCCGGCAGAAACGCGATGCTTCAGCCTCTGGAGCCGATATTAGCATAGAGCTCATCCACAGCCATATAGGGCAGCCCGAGCGAGCCCCTTCCTCCTCTCTACCCCCTCACCCATCCACCCCCTCCTCCTCCTCCTCCTCGCTGCACCCAGCAGTGCGGATGAGGGAGCGGGCCGAGCTGCCGGCGATGAAAAAATAGCGCTTCTTTTTCAAAATGTTCGCAGACTGACACAAAATGACGCACGCTGGTGGAAAGGAACGCAAAAGTAGGGGTGCGTTTGCAAGTCTGCAAACAGAATTCTTTAGTTTTGAGAAGCATGGATTTCTTTTAGTTCAGGGCTTAAGATTTCATTTTCCTCAGAATTTAATTTATGCCGCTTGAGATTTTAATGAAATCCCAATTTATAAAAAACCTAATGAAAGTCAGCCATTTTACTGCCATATAAAACTCCACTATTCTGATTGCATTAATGTAACCCATCAGTAGATTTAGAACCACGTCCAACAAGCTCCTGAATTATTAGTTTTCATACAAAATTATGTACAAATAAATGATCAACCAGGTGATTCTGCGTTTTGTTTTCAATTTATACGTGTATGACACCTAATGGCCACATGAAGAACTAAGGCAACTTTGCACACATAATATGGTATATCGCTTTCGCAAGCCATTGGTGAATTTATTAGTCATCCTCAAGGGCCATATTGTGGTAGTAGTTTGTGATGTCACTGCAAAAGTTGACCATTAGGTTGCACGCTAGTTAGAAAGCAAAATCACCTATTAAGAAGTCTGCCAACAAACAACACTTTTGTTCAAATATTAAAACTCACTCCTGTCAACCAAGAGCGGCACCGAGCAGCGGGTGCTGCCAGGGATTTTGGACCCCATGTAAAAATATATTGACTTTTATTTTTCAGATTATATTTAAGAAAGCTGGACCATGAAATGGATGGGCAGATTGGTGCTGCGACTGCAGTGATGCGTTGGACAGAGTGAGAAGCTCAGCCATCCGGGAGGAGTTCACAGTAGATCTGCTGCTCCTCCACATCGAGAGGAGCCAGATGAGGTGGCTCGGGCATCTGGTCATGATGCCTCCTGGTCACCTCTTTGGTGAGGTTTTCTGGGCACGTCCAACCGGGAGGAGACCTAAAGGGAGACCCAGGACACACTGGAGGGACTATGTCTCTCGGCTGGCCGGGAAATTCCTTGGGATTCCCCTGGAGGAGCTGGCTCAAGTGGCTGGGGTGAGGGAAGTCTGGGCGTCCCAGCTTAGGCTGCTGCCCCCACGACCCAACTCCAGATAAACGACTGACGGAGATTATTTTTAATCAAAGTTAAAAAATAATAATAATAATGTTGGGCACCCTGTCAGTCATGGACCCTAACTATCTTTTCAAAATAAAATTTGTCATGGAGCCAGTTAATCACAAAGTTATTGTAACCCTAATTGGGTGAATTTATGTTTGCATTAATCAACTAATTTGTCTCTTCTGAAGCAGAACTAAAACTATTACTCCTAAAGCCAGAAGCAAACAAAAAATAAATATCGACATTTAAAAGTGAAAATAAAGAACAGGTTTAGGTCACCACATAACCTTTGACCCCAGTAACAGTGCTCCCTGTATCTGATCTGGTGGTACACCATGGAAGCCCATCTTCTGGACATCCCAAAAGGCTTCAAGACCCTTCGCACCATCCTGTCGTCTGTCAGCAGGTTAGTCTTTCTACCAGCAGAGGGAGCCAGAGTCCAGAATAAGTAAACGACTTTAAACTTCCGATAAATCCAAAATCTGATCGTGGTTTTATTACTTTAACCTGGTTGACGTCTACAAAATCAAACAAACGAGGAAAAACGTGGATTTGAAAAAATGGAAACTGAACTGTAAAGCTCGTCAGAAATCCAGGTCACAAAATATTAAAAAATTATTTTAAGTGGACAAATAACTTTGAAAAATCAAGACTATGTAAGTTTTCTGATTTTTTACATCATATTTAAGGAGTCTCAGTCTAAATGCACAACTCGGTTTATTTATATAGCAACAAATTACAACAAAGAGTCATCTCATGGCACAAAGTAAACATTCCAGTTGAGTTTAGTTCATGCCCATTAGTAAGAAGTTATAAGGAAACCCAGCAGATTGCATCGAGTCACAGACTTGTTGTGTCAGAGACTTTACAGCAATAAGCAAGCATGTGGCGACAGTGGAGAGGAAAACTCCCCTTAACAGGGAGCCTCCAACAGATCCTGGATCAGTATGAGCAGCCATCTGTCACGACTCACAATAATGTTTTATTTTAATTACCTTCAGGGAAAAAATGTGTCATTAAACCCACATGTAGATTAGACCAAGAGTCACATAATAATCCGGTATATTTAGATGGATTGAGGTGTGATAAAAAGTAGAAATTATCTTTATTTTCAAACTAAATGTAAGACACCCGCACATTAAATTGTGTTTTGCAGAATTAAACCTGCAGACCAGAAACTAAATCTAATTACTCGCAATTACAGGTAACTTCTTGCAGCTACTGGATATTACCAATAGTTATTATTAATTAATAAAATCTAATGAGTCCTCTGGTTTATATGGAGGTGACTGAATACAGCAGCAGTCTGTAGTTCTAGCGCTACACAGGAATAAATAATCAGATGTCTCCAGGTTAAAATGCTGCTCCACCAGTCGAGCTAACGTAGGTACTGATACCTAAACCACCAGTTCAGGAGTAAAGAAGCTAAAAGCTAAACCTTTAATGTTATTTTCTGCACGGCTGCAGATCCTTAAAGCCTGAACGTGAATAAAAAGCTCCGCTTTTTGATCTTTGAGTAAAAACACTGATCCATCAAACCAAGACTCGGCTTCAGATTCCTCATCCAGACAAGAGAAGCTGCTGTGACGTTGCTTTTATGCTGAATTCACCAACGAAATGTCTGAACGGTGTCCTTCAGCTGGTGCTGACCGTGGGTTTGCTGGCCGTGGTCGTCTACCTCTACACTGTGGTGGCCTTCAACTTCTTCAGGAAGTTCTACAACAAGAGCGAGGATGAAGACGAGCCCGACATGAAGTGTGACGATATGATGACGGTACGTCTGATCACCTTTTAACAAAAATGACCTCAGTTGGTGAAAATATTTAGAGATGAAAAGGATTCCTGCAGCTTTTCATCAGGATGGACGTAACGGCCTTGATGGGATGCGACCACCGCTAACATTTACTTCCCGTTTCATCATCCTGAGATAAAAAATCTGATCATCATCACTTCTTCACATAAAAGTAAAACTCCGAGTCGCTGACAGATGTTTTATTTCAGCAGCAGGATGAAAATAACATCCGAGTTTCTGTTAGCAGATAATAAAGTACGACTGGCGCTTTCTTTCCCCGCAGTGCTACTTGTTCCACATGTACGTGGGCGTGAGAGCGGGAGGAGGCATCGGAGACGAGCTGGAGGACCCGGCCGGAGATCCATATGAACTCTACCGCTTCCTGTTTGACATCACCTTCTTCTTCTTCGTCATCGTCATCCTGCTGGCCATCATTCAGGGTACGTCCATCAGGACTTCTCATTGGTCCTTTCAGGTTAATCAGGTTCATTTGTTTTTCTGATGCAGGTTTGATCATCGATGCTTTTGGTGAGCTGAGAGACCAGCAGGAGCAGGTGAAGGAGGACATGGAGGTAAGACTCGTGTCTGTTCTGTCACTCTTCCTGATGTACCTGATCAACAAAGATGAGACTGAACAGGTATGCGACAGGACATGTCTTGGTGGTTTTTATTAGCTTTTAATCTCAGGAAAACAAGAGGAAACGCTCCCGTTTCAGTCGGTTTTACTCAGGCAGCGCTTCAACCCACTCAGAATGTTGCATAAGTTGGTTTCGCAGCAGGAGAAAGAAACAATGTGTGGGTTTGCTTTGACAATTCTGATGGTTACTGTCGTGCACCTGAGAGTCGAGTTGTTTTTGTTTGATGTGCGGGTCCTTTATCACAAATCTGGTTAGGAAAAAAAAACAGACACAAATCCAAACATGTTGAGAGAAAAGGTTTAAAAAGTAACAGAAACAGAGGCGGGCACACAAACTAAGCAGATTTGTTAAAAGTAACAACATCCAGCTTCTTTAGTCTGAATCGTTTAACGGGTTAAATGGATGCTGGGGACACGAAACACAATCCCTCAGCTGGAATCACACTGAACTGAAAACTGAGAAGGTTCTGGTACCTTCTGGGAACTCTGGTCACGCTTGTGTCACCACCAATAGTCTCAGCCCAGTGGCACAACTGGGACGTCTACTTTGTAAACTCTCTTTGGAAATCTCTTGAGATGATGAAGATTCTCCTTGACTGGTGGAGGAAATAATCATTCAAACTTTATTATACTTTCTCCGATTATACAAAGTAGCTCTCTTGGTGCTAAAATCGGAGTAAAGGTCTGTGTAACTGCTGGTTTGGGCTCTCATTGATCCAGGAGATGATGCATCTTTGTAGGTTTAGGGGGAAAAGGCAACTGGACTTCTTTATTTTTGCAGCCAGGAGCTTCAAAATCGTGCAAACGTTGCTGAAGTATTAGCAAACTAACCCTGGGTTAGGGTTAGGTGCTAACCCTAACCCTTCTCTCAGGGGAAACGGACAACAAAGACTCTGATGATGAACATCTTCACAGAAATGGAGATGCAGAGGCCATTTTCTCTGAACCAACAAGGACTTAGTCCCCTCCTCATAAATGCACGTTCTCATGAAAGCTCTTAACGGCGTTAACAGACTCAAAACACGATTGCAGCACTGACGACTGGACACTCTAGACGTGTGCAGTCTAACCACCCCTAACCACAGGTTTCATGGTAGAATGGCTGACTGCCACCATGTTGTAGCTTTGGACAACTTCATTTCTGTTGACTGGAGCAAATGAAGTGAAATATGGGTCCACGTCTCAACACCAGTCCTTCACAAACATCTGTAACCTTGACCGTCTGCATCCAGATGTCTGTTTACCTCCCAGCTTCCTGGTGGTCAGGAGATCATGCTGTCCAGCCAGTCCTCCAGAGCCTCCTCTGTCATCTCTTCTTTAGCAGCTGCAGGCTTTGTAGGTGTGACAACTTTTTCTTTTACATCCTCTGTGTTCACATGAATAACGGGTGTTTGCATCTCCCTCACATCCTCAAACCCTTTAGATCAAAATAAAATCATCTTGTTACATCATTCACTTTATTATTTTAGTTTGGTAGAAGCGGAACCATGAAGGTTTATACAAAGTCTGCTCACCTTCCTCCTGTCCTGGACCACAGACACACTGATGTCCTCCAACATCAGGGACGGGTTTCTGTAAACAGAGCAGCTGGTCAAGCTCTTCATCATCATCATCATCTGCCACAGAGGAAACCAGCGAAAGCTTCTCTGAGGGCTTCTCCGTGGTACTGAGGCCTCTGAAGGCGTTGGATGGAGGAGTAAATGATGACGATTTTAGTACTTCCTGTTGAGGTGCGAGGCTGAAAGCAGGTAAGTCTGCTGGCACTGACGCCTAACAGGAAAGAAAAGACTCATTAGTGTTGAAAATCTTAAAAGTGAAGCTTATTAGAGATGTTAATTATATCCAAGTATTTTCAAAGCTGGAAATCTCAATATTGGGGTTGAGCATCGATTGGAACCGGTTCAAACTGTTTGTTTTTCCCAGAATAGTTCAAAGTTTTTTTTTTCCCGATTCCTAGTTTCGATTCCTAGAATGCCGACCAGAAGAGGAATCCGCAGCCGATCTCCGTGAAAAATAAATGTGATCTGCAAATTGTGATCAATGCTTTTCAGAGCTGATCACACCTGTCTGTGTGCCCCCCACCCGGCATGCAGCGGCCAAATATAAACGAACACGTCTGCTGAACTTTTACTCCGTAATGTAAACTTTAACTCCTGCAGCGTAGAGGAAACGTGTTAAAATACGTCAACACGGTGGATTTAATAGAAGCTTAAAGAACAAACTCTGGACGGTGTGAGGTGAGTTTGTCTCACTGCAGAAATAAAAACACACACGGAGCGTCAGCAGTCAGACGCAGCCGCTCACCAACGTGTGTGTGTGTGTGTGTGTGTGTGTGTGTGTGTGTGTGTGAGAGAGTGAGTGAGTGAGTGAGTGAGTGAGTGAGTGAGTGAGTGAGTGAGTGAGCGTCAGAAGGCTGAACAATAACCTGTAGAATAATTAAAGTCATCATGCTAGAGCAGCTTCTCTGTGGTGGACCACACCAGCTTCTGCCACAATAAATAATAATAATAATAATAATAATAATAATTATAATTATTATTATTATTATTATTATTATTATTATAAATCACACACAAAGTTGTGAGCATTTTAATTTCCTTTCTGAACTATTTTTGTTGAGTTTTAATGTTTAAAATCTGTTAGATTGTTACTGACAGCAGCTACGTTTAAGTTTCACTTCCTGTTCTGACTGAACGCTGCTGCAGCATGGAGGTGTAGTTCTCAGTCATCCTGGACATGATCATCCTGAGAGTTTTAGCTGAAAACAGCTGGACGTTTCTGGATATGTTGGAGACATTTAGCCTCTCATCCCAGAGGCTGCTTCCACACTTTGGTTGTGGTCAGAAACAAACACACTGGTTGTGCTGCAAGTCTTTTTCTTTTTTTTCTCCAAAACATGTTTTTGTCTAAATGAAGGTGATGTTGTTGTTCATAGAATTAAAATTCATGTTGAAGTTAAGATTATTTCATCAAGTAGGACCTGTGGTGAGCTGGTTCATGCAAAACATGTCATGTCTTCAAAGAATTGGAATCAGGAATCGATAGGAACTGGAATCGAAACAAAGAACCGGAATCGTTCAAACCCAAACGATGCCCAACCCTACTCAATATTATTTATTTTGCGAAAAAAAAAACATGTAAATCTTCTAAAAAAATTAATGGAAAAAAAAAGTGAAAACTAATTGTGATGCACATTTTAGTTCTTTACTAAACCTTACAGAGTGCATTTGCTAGAGAATGAGTTGTTCTCCACCACAACCCACCCTCATGATTCCTACCTGAACCAGCTCAGCCTCCAGGTCAAGTCTGTGATGTAAAGGAACTTGTTTTAAACTCTCGGCCAGAGCTGGGAGATCCAGGATTACCACGGACATCTGAAGAGGAAACAAGATAAAAGTTGTTAAACCGCATTACTAAAACCCAAAAGAGGCTTCAAATATCCACAAATGTTAAAACAGGAAAACTTTTTTCTAAATAACTCCACAAAGCAGCCAGAGAAGCAGGAATTCGGCTCTGTGCTCTTTAAAAGTCAGCAAGCAAGAGTTAAAAGGACAACATAAAGGAAAACATTGTTTAAAATGTGTTTAATTGGTTATTTATTGGTTTTATTGATGCCTCTTGGTAATAAATTGGAACTAATGGGCCATTCCCATCTGTACCGGGCCGGGTAGCCCCAGTCGACCCCAGCCTGGCCCGGTTGATTCCACACATCCTTGTCTTAATAATAATAAAAATGCATTGAACTTATAAAGCACTTTTCTAGAAACCCAAAGACGCTTTCACACATTCTCACATTCACACACTGCTAGTGATGGTAAGCTGCTTGTAGCCACAGCCGCCCTGAGGAGGTCTGACAGAGGCGAGGCTGCCATTTGGCGCCGTCGGCCCCTCTGACCACCACTAACACAGGCAAGTTGGGTGAAGTGTCTTGCCCAAGGACACAACAGCAGGGTACCCCTGGCGGGAGCTGTGGGCTGATTCTACCCACCAATCAGAGGCTTGCTCTAATGGAAGGTGTGAATTTGCTGTCAGCAGTGGGTGTGTTGGCCCTGGTCGGCCTGAAGTAGACCCCCTCGAGAAGAGGGCTGAGAATGAGCCTTGGTTGGCCCGGAAAAACACCAGGCCACCCAGATATGTAAACAACCTACGCTACCCGGCCCGGGCCGACCCGGTACAGATGGGAATGGCCAATAAGGTGCATTCATGGAAGGAGCAACACAGCTAAAGGTGCTTTTGGCACCCTGGAAAATATTCTCATGGTGGTTTATTACACTTCCTCATTATAACAAGGTAATAATATTAAGTAATTTGGTTTGTCAGTAACTAAATCCCATCGCATTATAAACTCGAGCAGAAATTTAAAAAGTTTGAAAGACAAAATGATGAAAACTGATCGTGAGTTTATAATTGAACGGATTCATATTCATCGTATTACCTAACTGAAGATCACATCACATTTCATTAGATTTCAAAAGGTTTAAAAAGTTAAAGTCCCATTAGTTGTCACACACACTGATGTGTGTGCGAAATGTGTTCTCCGCATTTACAGCCGTGCTCGGGAACCATTTGGTGGTTTAACCCCCCCAATCAAACCCCCTTAATGCTGAGTGTCAAGCAGGGAGGCACTGGGTCCCATTTTTTCAAAGTCTTTGGTATGACCCGACCAGGAATCGAACCCTGATCTCCCAGTCTCAGGGCTGAACTGGTGAAGCAGGAGTTCAGCTCTGGTAATAAAGGTAATAAAGTGAATTTGCACCAAACTACTCAGAGTCATTTCCTGGTGAGCTAAACACAATGTGAGAGCATGTGGAAGTCAGATTTGCTGACATCTTGCTATGAAATGAATGAATGAATGAACGAATGAATCAATGAATGAATGAATCAATCAATCAATCATCAATCAGATTTTATTTATAAAGCGCTTTTCAGTAAAAATGTATATTCGGCTGAGTCCAGATGAGTCAAGTAAGGCAAGGCTAGGAAACGCCATCAGAGGAGCCGTCTGCCCCGGCAGCATCAGGTCTTCCACACTAAGTCAGGGCGCTCAGAGGAGTTGGAGCATAGACCCCCACCTCCACTTAAACACTACCTATAGAGCGCTCAGGAAGCAACAGTCGACCACCGTCCCAGGGGCAGAGGGCCCCTACAGAGAAGTCTTCTACTAATTTAAATCTCTGCCTGTGGGATCAATAACGGGTTTAAAAGCCCAGTGGTGGACACGGGGTTGAACCAGTTTACCTGACTGGCTGTGGACGAGTCCATCTCCCAGTTCTTCTCTTCTGAAAACCGGAACTGAGTGAACGAATCTCCTGGAAGCCAAACAAACACAAAATCAAATTATAGCAATGTTTCTGTTCAAACCTCACCATCGGTTCATCCATCACTTTAAACTTCAAACACGACAACTCATTAGCTTCATGTGAACCCTTGAGCAGCCTGAGAGCTCCACCAGCACCAACGGCTCCTGAGACCGAATCCTGCAGATGGTCTATTAAAGAACACCAGTGTGCTTCATCTTCATCAGACAGGAATGCTTCCAGACACAAATGAGAAAATGTGCTGTTGGAGTGAAGCATGGCGCTTTCGCAGCTAAAACCCAACAACCTGCTCAACAAGAACATGGTGTCAGATGTGAAGTACCACTCTCCTCGCTTTATAGATGCGGTCATCTCTGCAGCACTGCAGGATGTCGCTCTGGGTGGAATAAGAGGATGTTTGTTTGAATTATTAGATTATGCAATAGAAGGGTGTCTGGTTTAAGGTGGAAGCTTCAAATTCATAAATGTAACTAAAGGTAACAGGAAGAGTCCTTAACTTTGAAGGGAAATTTTTAAAATAAAAAAACAGAAAAAAAGTCGGACACAAAAATCCTAAAACAACTAAAGTGGGAGCTGGCAACATAAAACCAGTTCAGACCGGTCTGAGTCCACACGTGGAGGTTAAGTAGCTGTTGGACTTTATCCTGTGAAGAGAAGTCGAGTGTGAGATGTGATAAACACAAAAACCAGACTGAAAATAGTCTGTTGAGTAAAATATTCTGGCAGCCGTGTGGTAGAAAAAAGGAAATGTTGAGTTCGTTTCTCCACATGACCTCAGGAATTCAACACAAAGCTGTTCTAGAACAGGGGCCTCTGTTATCCTTAACAAAACTCTTAAGCTCAGCTCAATATTTTACTTAGGCAAATTATTTTCTGCCATAAATATACTTAAAGAGCAAGTCACCCCCTTCCAGAGTCTAACTTCTCTTCCATTTCCTGTTTAAAACATGCACCACAAGGAGGCGTTGCCTGGCAAACCGAGAAATTGGAGCTAGAGCTGTAGCGAAGTGTCCATGACGTTGACGGCTCGATTCTAAAATATTGTCGCCGTCAGATCTGGTAGTCGATGCACCATGCCCACTTGTTGCATCCCCAGGTGTTTGTAAGTAGAGAAGGAATCTGCCTGTTTTTCCTCTAGTTCACCCTCTTCCCCGCCTTCACTAACATCTCCGCCAAAAACCCGGGGATGGGAGGAGTTCAGAGATACCATGGAGCAAGACTTCCATACGGCTTTGAGGAGATTCTGGTCCACCATCCGGCGCCTCAGGGGGAAAGCAGTGCGCTACCAACACTATCTACAGGTGCTGGCCAGTAAATTAGAATATCATCAAAAGGTTGAAAATATTTCAGTAATTCCATTCAAAACGTGAAACTTGTACATTATATTCATGCAATGCACACAGACCAATGTATTTCCAATGTTCATTACATTTAAATTTGATATTCATAAGTGACAACTAATGAAAACTCCAAATTTGGTATCTCAAAAAATTAGAATATTCTGAAAAGGCTGAATATAGAAGACACCTGCTGCCACTCAAATCAGCTGATTTACTCAAAACACCTGCAAAGGCCTTTAAAAGGTCCCTCAGTCTTGTTTTGAAGGCACCACAATCATGGGGAAGACTTCTGACTTAACAGCTGTCCAAAAGACAATCATTGACACCTTGCACAAGGAGGGCAAGACACAAAAGGTGATTGCTAAAGAAGCTGGCTGTTCGCAGAGCTCTGTGTCCAAGCACATTAACAGACAGGCGAAGGGACGGAAAAAATGTGGTAGAAAAAAGTGTACAAGCTCTAGGGATAACCGCACCCTGCAGAGAATTGTGACGACAAACCCATTCAAAAATGTGGGGGAGATCCACAAAGAGTGGACTGCAGCTGGAGTCAGCGCTTCAAGAACCACCACGAGGAGACTCATGAAAGACATGGGATTCAGGTGTCGCATTCCGTGTGTCAAGCCACTCTTGAACAAGAAACAGCGCAAGAAGCGTCTCGCCTGGGCCAAGGACAAAAAGGACTGGACTGATGCTGAGTGGTCCAAAGTTATGTTTTCTGATGAAAGCAAGTTCTGCATTTCCTTTGGCAATCAAGGACCCAGAGTCTGGAGGAAGAGCGGAGAAGCACAGAATCCACGTTGCATGAGGTCCAGTGTAAAGTTTCCACCGTCAGTGATGGTGTGGGGTGCCATGTCATCTGCCGGTGTTGGCCCACTCTGTTTCCTGAGGTCCAGGGTCAATGCAGCCGTCTACCAGGAAGTTTTAGAGCACTTCATGCTTCCTGCTGCTGACCAACTTTATGGGGATGCAGACTTCACCTTTCAACAGGACTTGGCACCTGCACACAGTGCCAAAACCACCAGCACCTGGTTCAAGGACCATGGTATCCCTGTCCTTGATTGGCCAGCAAACTCGCCTGACCTTAACCCCATAGAAAATCTATGGGGTATTGTGAAGCGGAGGATGCAATACGCTAGACCCAACAATGCAGAGGAGCTGAAGACGACTATCAGAGCAACCTGGGCTCTCATAACACCTGAGCAGTGCCACAGACTGATCGAGTCCATGCCACGCCACATTACTGCAGTTATTGAGGCAAAAGGAGCCCCGACTAAGTATTGAGTGCTATACATGCACATTCTTTTCATGTTCATTCTTTTCAGTTGGCCAACATTAGAGAAACAAACATTTTTTCATTGGCCTTTAGAATATTCTAATTTTCTGAGATACCAGATTTGATGTTTTCATTGGTTGTCACCTATAAATATCAAAATTAAACGTAATAAACATCGGAAATACATTGGTCTGTGTGCATTGCATGAATATAATGTACAAGTTTCACGTTTTGAATGGAATTACTGAAATATTTTCAACCTTTTGATGATATTCTAATTTACTGGCCAGCACCTGTATAGTGGGGACGGTGTGCTGCTGACCTCTACTCAGGACGTTGTGGATCGGTGGGCAGAATACTTCAAAGACCTCCTCAACCCCACCGACATGTCTTTCAGCAGGGAAGGAGAGTCTGGGGACTTTGAGTTGGCCTCTCAAATCTCTGGTGCTGAGGTCACTGAGGTGGTTAAAAAGCTCCTCTGTGGCAAGGCTCCATGGATCCAATCCAATCCAATCCAATTTTATTTATAAAGCGCATTCACAAGGCATTACAACCAAACAAGGCGCTGTACACTAAAAATGTTGGTTAATTAAACAGGCGTTATATAAACATGTCGAACACAGATAAAAGATAAAAAGGAAATACAACAAAATTCCCAAAAATAACAGCTAAAAATCAATAAGACACAGGGTGAAATAAAAATAGGAAAAAAAACATTTTACAAAGAACCTCAATGATACGGAAGTGGATAATTGTGGAGTCCATTTATAAACAGTGCAGATGTCAGTGAGGTCTATAGTTATGTTGTATAAGCTAGGTTGAAGTAGTGAGTTTTCAGGTGTGATTTAAAAATGCTAGCTGTTGGTGCTAGCCTCACTAGCAGTGGTAATGCGTTCCACAGCTTCGATGCACAGACAGAGAAAGCCCCCTCTCCACGGCTTTTTAAACGTGCATTGGGATGGATGGATGAGATCCGCCTGGAGTTCCTTAAGGCTCTGGATGTTGTGGGGCTGTGTTGGCTGACACGGCTCTGCAATATCGCGTGGACATCGGGGGCAGTCCCACTGGACTGGCAGACCGGGTTGATGGTTCCCTTATTTAAAAAGGGGGACTGCAGGGTGTGTTCCAACTACAGGGGGATCACACTCCTGAACCTTCCTGGTAAGGTCTATTCAGGCGTTCTGGAGAGGAGGGACCGTCGGATTGTTGAACCTCAGATTCAGGAGGAGCAATGTGGTATTCGTCCTGGTCATGGAACACGGGACCAGCTCTATACCCTTAGGGGGATCCTGGAGGGTGCGTGGGAATTTGCCCAACCAGTCTACTTGTGTTTAATGGATTTGGAGAAGGCATTTGACCGCGTCCCTCGGGGCCCTGTGGAGGGTACTCTGTGAGTATGGGGTACCAATCCCTCTGATATGGGCTGTTAGGTCCCTGTATGACTGGTGTCAGAGCTTGGTCCGCATTGCCGGCAGTAAGTCGGGCTCGTTCCCAGTGAGAGTTGGACTCCGCCAAGGCTGCCCTTTGTCACCGATTCTGTTCATAACCTTTATGGACAGGATTTCTAGGCGCAGCCAAGGTGTGGAGGGCATCCGTTTTTGTGGCCTGAGGATCATGTCTCTGCTTTTTGCAGATGATGTGGTCCTGTTGGCTTCATCAGAACGTTATCTTCAGCTTTTGCTGGAGCAGATCGCAGCCGAGTGTGAAGCTGCTGGGATGAGAATCAGCTCCTCTAAATCTGACACCATGGTATTGATTCAGAAAAGGGTAGAATGCTTTCTTCGGGTCAGGGATGAGGTCCTGCCCCAAGTGGAGGAGTTTAAGTATCTCGGGGTCTTGTTCACGAGTGAGGGAAAACTAGAGTGTGAGATCGATAGGCGGATTGGTGCTGCATCTGCAGTGATGCGGACGTTGTACCGGCCTGTCGTGGTGAAGAGAGAGCTGAGTCAGAAGGCGAAGCTCTCGATTTACCGGTCGATCTATGTTCCTACCTCACCTATGGTCATGAGCTTTGGGTAGTGACCGAAAGAACGAGAACACTGACACAAGCGGCCGAAATGAGTTTTCTCCAAAGACTGGCTGGGCTCTCCCTTAGAGATAGGGTGAGAAGCTTGGTCATCCGGGAGGGGCTCGGAGTAGATCCGCTGCTCCTCCACATTGAGAGGAGCCAGTTGAGGTGGCTCGGGCATCTGGTCAGGATGCCTCCTGGATGCCTCCCTGGTGAGGTTTTCCAGGCACGTCCAACTGGGAGGAGACCTAAAGGTAGACCCAGGACACGGTGGAGGGACTATGTCTCTCACCTGGCCAGAGAACGCCTTGGGATTCCCCCGGAGGAGCTGGCCCAAGTGGCTGGGGAGAGGGAAGTCTGGGCCTCTCGC